ACCTCTACCTGCGTCCAGAACTTTTCCCTACTTTGCTCCCACAAGCTCATCCTCTCAGCGAGAACCGGCCTGGACAGAGCCGCCGTCCGCAGTCCAAAGGCTCCAGTTTAGACAGAGCTCCTCAGGGGAGATGGACGGGCTACCGCCCCGATTCAAGAAGGCTGCTCTGCAGGTAGAAGATGAGGGGTCACTTCCAGCCCATCTCACTGCTTCCACTGGAGAGATGGAGGATGACCAGCGATCCACGGCATGCCTGAAACCAGGCCATGCAAACAGTCCAAGCCCCATCCACGGGATGCAGGCAGCATAGGAAACCATGCCCCCCCCCCGTCCTGCCTGTGGAAAACCCTCTCTCCACAGAACTGGTCCCTGGAGCCCAAAGGATTTGGGGGGGGGTCGTGGCCCTAGGATAGAGAAAGCATCCTGGAGTGTGTGCAGGCAGGTGGCTCTGGTGAGGGCCGAGGAAAGTGTTGCCATGCAGTCCGAGACAGAATGGGAGGACCTGCTTGCACCCGACCCAGAGGGAGCTGCAACATCCCTCTCCACCCTCCTTTGTGGGGCATGAGAAGAGGGCCCCAGGCTTCCTTCCTGGGTTGGGGGGCAGGGGAGCTGCATGGGATCATTCCCAGGGACCTCTGGTACAGACGAGAGCGCTACCTGCTTTCTCCTCGGGCTAAGGGCTAGGTAAAATGAACAGGGTCCTGTAAAGAAATGTTAAAGGGCATTTCTTTACTTCTGTTGCCTTGTTTGCCCTTGCGAGGCTGGAAGGAATATCAGGTAGGGTTGTCACTTGCAATTCATGGGCTTGCTGGCTGTGGCAGAAACAGCGAAGTGGCCACAATTGGGCCTCCTGTGCCCAGTCTTGGCACATGACTAGGAATGTCTGAGAGTCTTCAAAAAGAGATGGGAAAACTCCTGGACGTAGTCAAATTAAACAGTTGTGAATTTGATGCACATCTCTCACGGTATTAGCAAGACCCACAAAGGACATTAGCGGGCAATTTAGTTAGGCCATTAAAATCTTAATAGAGCTCTTTATTCATTTTCCGCTTTGTCCATTCCTTTGTGACTTAGCATCTAATGCAAACCCAGTTTTTTAGTTTATGGTTCAATATATTGCTATTAACCAGAAGACTGGTTAATTCAGTCTCCAAATGAGGCATGTGAACGCCATCCTGACCTTCCCAATATCTTAATACCTCCCTTGAGGGAAAGTGACCTAAATTATTGCTGTTTTTTCCTTTCTCATACACACACACACACACACACACACACACACACACACACACACTCCTCCCAACTGGTCTGGTACATGGTATACTAATGTTTGTTGCTCCACTTCAATACTAGGTCAAAGAAGGTGAGACAAAGACTGAGACTGAGGATCTCAACCCATTGAGAACTTTAGGCCATCCAGCTGCTGTACTACCTCTATGAGCAAAACCACTTGCCCCCAGAGCCAGCCACTGAAGGCCAAGCGCTAGATATTCCTGGAAAAGCTGTTCAGCAGTGGAATCACTTCCCCAGATCTCCTCCCTTCCTGGAGGCCTCCAAATGGGGCTGGTTGGCCACCTCTCCAGAGTTATTTGGAGGGCTTCCTAAGGCATTCCCCTCCCCCAATGCATTCATTCTGTAGCCCAGTCTTGTGTTGGACTTGCCAAAATCATCAGTTGACCCTCATTGACTGTGCCGGACCTTTGGTGCAACCTATTTTCAGGGCTCCTTGGGTAGTCTCAATACTCTAGTGCTGATTAATTGGGATTTTTCAGATAACTTAGGCTAAATTACCACTTTATAAGTACTGAGAGAAAGCCAAGGGTGTCGGCCAAGGGGCCGAGACCCAGAGATAGTTACCTGAAGAATTCCCTTGCTCAGGCCATCGTTTCAAGTGCCAGTCTTGTTCCTCCTGATTATGTATCACCCCGATAAAACCTGTCCATTACTTTGAAATCTGCTTTCAATTGGGCAGTTCTTAAATCTCTGAAAAAGGGGCTGCAGAATTGTTCTAAGAGTATTTGGGGAAAAAAGATAGCTCATTGGGCTTGAAGCAATCAGTTGCCTAGAGGGCTAATAATTCTGCTTAAAGCAGTTATAAGTTCTGTGACTGGAATAAACTATGCAAATGTACATACATTTCTTGCAATTGCTTCTTAATTGTCAAGTATATGAAGTTTTCTTTCGCGTGGGAAGGCTTTCACCTCTGTACGTATCAGATTCCGACTGCAGTTTTAGGTCTGAGAAACCAAAGGGTGGAGCCAGACAACACAGTGAAGCGGTTGTGATTTTCTGGACTTTTGGACAGGGTGGGGTCTACAAAGTACATTAAGTTTATTTTTTAACCTAAAATCGCAGTTGCCTGTTTCCTATCTCAAAATGCTGCTAAACAAAAAGCCACCACTGCATTTGAATGGGATTCAAGTTGCTACAATTTTGTTCACTGGTTTGCGTGATTAAGGTTTAAAGGTGAGGCTGCTTCATCAGCACCAGCCAGGGAAGGCTGTGGACGCGTACCATTGAACAAGCTCCAGCCTCAGGTAACTTATGTATATTCCTGGTCAGCTAAGAAAAGTCTACAAGTGTCGCTATGCTGGGCACAGCACACCTTGTGGCTAAGGGCCAGCAGGACCACAGGATTGGAAGCGGGCTTGGGGTTACATGATGGAAGCACTCCAGCTCTACTTTCCAAGCTAGACATGGTACACTACCTCAGTTTGTTAACAGGTGTCGGATGAGCTAACTTTAAGCCAGTTTAGAATATGTGCCCCAATGGGCATATTCGAAATATACATAATATATACTTAGAATACGTATACATATTCTAAGTATATATTACTGATACCACATTTCAGCACAATGTCTCTTTAACACAATTCTCGATTCCAGCACTAAATGCCCAGAGATACTCGCCCATGACCACAATATTTTCTCCGTGGGGCAGAACCAGGAGGTATCTCCAAGCCTAACATGGCGCAAGTAGGGAATGTGCCTATTGTCTTTCCCTTCTAGGGAAGGCCAGTCTGGGTTAGTCTTGGAGAACATGAGCACAGGAAGTCAATTACTTAACCTCCCCATACCTCATCCGCACATTCACACACATACAGCCTCTCCATCTGGGGGCTTGGGGGAATCTAATTTGCCTCTGGAAAGATGGGCCACAAAACCAGTCCTGCCTTTGAAGGCAATCAGACATCAGAGCCGGGGCGAGGCAGCCATCTCAGAGCAGAACGGCACTCGAGCCTCTGGCACGGTCTTGGAGGAGGAGGAGCTGCGGGCTGGGGGAGTGGCCTCTGGCTCACGTTCTCGTTTAAGAACTGTGGTTACCACCCTTTTCTCTGGTCCCCACTCATGCATTATCCCAGCAGGACACAACTTGTCAAAAGTTACTTTTCTCTCCTTAGCATTAGTCACTCATGCCAGGAAGAATTGGGCTTTTCCCTCTGGACTTCCTAACTCTTCCTAGGCAAGAAGACAAAAATACCTGAGTTTCCTTGGTGTAAGGCAGTGTTTCTCAACCTTGACAATTTTAAGGCATGTGGACTTCAACTCCCAGAATTCCACAGCCAGCATTGCTGGCTGTGGAATTCTGGGAGTTGAAGTCCACATGCCTTAAAATTGTCAAGGTTGAGAAACACTGCCTTACACCAAGGAAACTCAGGTATTTTTGTCTTCTTGCCTAGGAAGAGTTAGGAAGTCCAGAGGGAAAAGCCCAATTCTTCCTGGCATGAGTGACTAATGCTAAGGAGAGAAAAGTAACTTTTGACAAGTTGTGTCCTGCTGGGATGATGCATGAGTGGGGACCAGAGAAAAGGGTGGTAACCACAGTTCTTAAACGAGAACGTGAGCCAGAGGCCACTCCCCCAGCCCGCAGCTCCTCCTCCTCCAAGACCGTGCCAGAGGCTCGAGTGCCGTTCTGCTCTGAGATGGCTGCCTCGCCCCGGCTCTGATGTCTGATTGCCTTCAAAGGCAGGAATGGTTTTGTGGCCCATCTTTCCAGAGGCAAATTAGATTCCCCCAAGCCCCCAGATGGAGAGGCTGTATGTGTGTGAATGTGCGGATGAGGTATGGGGAGGTTAAGTAATTGACTTCCTGTGCTCATGTTCTCCAAGACTAACCCAGACTGGCCTTCCCTAGAAGGGAAAGACAATAGGCACATTCCCTACTTGCGCCATGTTAGGCTTGGAGATACCTCCTGGTTCTGCCCCACGGAGAAAATATTGTGGTCATGGGCGAGTATCTCTGGGCATTTAGTGCTGGAATCGAGAATTGTGTTAAAGAGACATTGTGCTGAAATGTAGTATCAGTAATATATACTTAGAATATGTATACGTATTCTAAGTATATATTATGTATATTTCGAATATGCCCATTGGGGCACATATTCTAAACTGGCTTAAAGTTAGCTCATCCGACACCTGTTAACAAACTGAGGTAGTGTACCATGTCTAGCTTGGAAAGTAGAGCTGGAGTGCTTCCATCATGTAACCCCAAGCCCGCTTCCAATCCTGTGGTCCTGCTGGCCCTTAGCCACAAGGTGTGCTGTGCCCAGCATAGCGACACTTGTAGACTTTTCTTAGCTGACCAGGAATATACATAAGTTACCTGAGGCTGGAGCTTGTTCAATGGTACGCGTCCACAGCCTTCCCAGGCTGGTGCTGATGAAGCAGCCTCACCTTTAAACCTTAATCACGCAAACCAGTGAACAAAATTGTAGCAACTTGAATCCCATTCAAATGCAGTGGTGGCTTTTTGTTTAGCAGCATTTTGAGATAGGAAACAGGCAACTGCGATTTTAGGTTAAAAAATAAACTTAATGTACTTTGTAGACCCCACCCTGTCCAAAAGTCCAGAAAATCACAACCGCTTCACTGTGTTGTCTGGGTCCACCCTTTGGTTTCTCAGACCTAAAACTGCAGTCGGAATCTGATACGTACAGAGGTGAAAGCCTTCCCACGCGAAAGAAAACTTCATATACTTGACAATTAAGAAGCAATTGCAAGAAATGTATGTACATTTGCATAGTTTATTCCAGTCACAGAACTTATAACTGCTTTAAGCAGAATTATTAGCCCTCTAGGCAACTGATTGCTTCAAGCCCAATGAGCTATCTTTTTTCCCCAAATACTCTTAGAACAATTCTGCAGCCCCTTTTTCAGAGATTTAAGAACTGCCCAATTGAAAGCAGATTTCAAAGTAATGGACAGGTTTTATCGGGGTGATACATAATCAGGAGGAACAAGACTGGCACTTGAAACGATGGCCTGAGCAAGGGAATTCTTCAGGTAACTATCTCTGGGTCTCGGCCCCTTGGCCGACACCCTTGGCTTTCTCTCAGTACTTATAAAGTGGTAATTTAGCCTAAGTTATCTGAAAAATCCCAATTAATCAGCACTAGAGTATTGAGACTACCCAAGGAGCCCTGAAAATAGGTTGCACCAAAGGTCCGGCACAGTCAATGAGGGTCAACTGATGATTTTGGCAAGTCCAACACAAGACTGGGCTACAGAATGAATGCATTGGGGGAGGGGAATGCCTTAGGAAGCCCTCCAAATAACTCTGGAGAGGTGGCCAACCAGCCCCATTTGGAGGCCTCCAGGAAGGGAGGAGATCTGGGGAAGTGATTCCACTGCTGAACAGCTTTTCCAGGAATATCTAGCGCTTGGCCTTCAGTGGCTGGCTCTGGGGGCAAGTGGTTTTGCTCATAGAGGTAGTACAGCAGCTGGATGGCCTAAAGTTCTCAATGGGTTGAGATCCTCAGTCTCAGTCTTTGTCTCACCTTCTTTGACCTAGTATTGAAGTGGAGCAACAAACATTAGTATACCATGTACCAGACCAGTTGGGAGGAGTGTGTGTGTGTGTGTGTGTGTGTGTGTGTGTGTGTGTGTGTATGAGAAAGGAAAAAACAGCAATAATTTAGGTCACTTTCCCTCAAGGGAGGTATTAAGATATTGGGAAGGTCAGGATGGCGTTCACATGCCTCATTTGGAGACTGAATTAACCAGTCTTCTGGTTAATAGCAATATATTGAACCATAAACTAAAAAACTGGGTTTGCATTAGATGCTAAGTCACAAAGGAATGGACAAAGCGGAAAATGAATAAAGAGCTCTATTAAGATTTTAATGGCCTAACTAAATTGCCCGCTAATGTCCTTTGTGGGTCTTGCTAATACCGTGAGAGATGTGCATCAAATTCACAACTGTTTAATTTGACTACGTCCAGGAGTTTTCCCATCTCTTTTTGAAGACTCTCAGACATTCCTAGTCATGTGCCAAGACTGGGCACAGGAGGCCCAATTGTGGCCACTTCGCTGTTTCTGCCACAGCCAGCAAGCCCATGAATTGCGAGTGACAGCCCTACCTGATATTCCTTCCAGCCTCGCAAGGGCAAACAAGGCAACAGAAGTAAAGAAATGCCCTTTAACATTTCTTTACAGGACCCTGTTCATTTTACCTAGCCCTTAGCCCGAGGAGAAAGCAGGTAGCGCTCTCGTCTGTACCAGAGGTCCCTGGGAATGATCCCATGCAGCTCCCCTGCCCCCCAACCCAGGAAGGAAGCCTGGGGCCCTCTTCTCATGCCCCACAAAGGAGGGTGGAGAGGGATGTTGCAGCTCCCTCTGGGTCGGGTGCAAGCAGGTCCTCCCATTCTGTCTCGGACTGCATGGCAACACTTTCCTCGGCCCGCACCAGAGCCACCTGCCTGCACACACTCCAGGATGCTTTCTCTATCCTAGGGCCACGACCCCCCCCCAAATCCTTTGGGCTCCAGGGACCAGTTCTGTGGAGAGAGGGTTTTCCACAGGCAGGACGGGGGGGGGGGGCATGGTTTCCTATGCTGCCTGCATCCCGTGGATGGGGCTTGGACTGTTTGCATGGCCTGGTTTCAGGCATGCCGTGGATCGCTGGTCATCCTCCATCTCTCCAGTGGAAGCAGTGAGATGGGCTGGAAGTGACCCCTCATCTTCTACCTGCAGAGCAGCCTTCTTGAATCGGGGCGGTAGCCCGTCCATCTCCCCTGAGGAGCTCTGTCTAAACTGGAGCCTTTGGACTGCGGACAGCGGCTCTGTCCAGGCCGGTTCTCGCTGAGAGGATGAGCTTGTGGGAGCAAAGTAGGGAAAAGTTCTGGACGCAGGTAGAGGTTTTTTCTTCTTCTTTTTTTCCCTTCAACCATTGCTGGGAATCGTGGTGCAAGAAGAAATTGCAGGATACTGAAAATCAAGAGCTAGCCATAGGAATGCCCTCTCTCTACTCTGCCCTGGCGAGACCGTATCACAAAAGCAAGTGATTACGGACCAGGGTATCCAGAATACTGACAGGCTAGAAGGCGTTCAGAGGAGGGTGACAAAATGCAGAGATCCATAGAGGAGGAGGAGGAGGAGGAGGAGGAGGAGGAGGAGGAGGAGGAGGAGGAGGAAAAACCAGGTTATCAGGCTTCAGGTACACAAAAAGGGCATCCTAGGGAAGGTGACTGGAAAGGTGGGGTGCCCCTTCCAGCCCCCAGTTCTATGACTGTCAGTAAGAGTGGGAGACTTCGGTTGCCCTGGTGTCAGTGGGGGAATTTGCCAAATCGAATGTCGAATAAACCTTTGCCCTGTTTTCCCGAGCGTTTCACTCATCAGAAAAACGAACAAGGAGGCCTGCTGTCCCAGCCCTAGCCCTCTCCCCATAGGAGGGAAGGGGAGCTAACTGAAACATTAGGCCAAGTTATAATGTTACCTCTGAGTTTGTAATTTCTGGAAGGGGACCTGAAAAGAGAAAAATTTGGAAGGACTTATCCAAATTCCAAGGGAAGATAGGTGAGATCCAATCACTTGAAATCCTGAAGGAGCAAACGATCCAAGAAAGATGAGAAGAATTCTAAGCAATGGGATTCTGTAAGGGACCGTCAGAAATAATCCAACCAAAGAAAAATGGGGACAAAAATCTGAGGAGGTCAGCAGAGTTACAGAAGTTCTTTCAACTGCTGAAGAGAAAAAGAGACGCATGCAAAACATGGAAAGAGGAACAATAAATGCATAAAAAAATAAAGCCCAACAGAATGTAGGCCTGTTGTAAGAAGAAATTGCTTAAGGCTGATGGTGCAAAGGGACCATCTTACTTTGCATCTTTCCCCAGAATAGAAATGGCGCTATGGCTACGAGGAAGCTGAATCTCGGGACAAATGCGGTGAAACCGTCAGCTGAGTGGAGAGGTTCATCCCTCTTTCTCGGGGAGTAAAGAGACATTCCAGTTTAGAGTCTCTTCGGGAGAGGGAAACACCTGTGGTTTCCCAAGGGAAGTCTGGCAAAATTCTTGTAATAGCAGCTGATCAGGAAAATGCCCACTTGGGCCTCCCCTCAAGTGGTTCTGGTTGCCTCGCCCCGACCCCAAAGATGAGGACAAGAAGGAAATTAGGTTATCTTGAATGAGGTATCCAGACCCACATGTGGATTATGTTCTTCGGTGTTGAGGGCAATTGCAGAACCCTCTTGGTGATCTCTGACGACTTCGGGAGGACTGGTGAGGTTGCAGAAGACTGGAGGAGGTCAAATTTTAAGGAGAAATTTCCTGTCAATGAGAATAGTTACTCAGTGGAATAGCTTGTTTTTGGGAAGTTGTGGGGGCTTCATCACTGGAGGTTTTTAAGAAAAGACTGGATAACCATTTGTCCAGAATGGTATAGGTTCTCCTGTGTGGGCAAAGGGTTGGACTAGAAGACCTCCAATGTCCCTTCCAACTCTTACTCTATTATTAAGTCCCACCTTCAAAAAGGGAAGGAGAAGGGCCTGAGAAACTACTTGACCAAATAGACCATTTGTGAGAAAGAAATACAATAGTTAAGAAGAGCCAGCGGGAGGTGGTGATGGGGTGTCTCACAAAGAAATTATCCCAGACTATAACCCCAGATAGAGTTCCTGGCTTAGTAGATGAGGGGAATCTTACAGACATCGTGAACCAGAATCTCAACAAAAGTATTTCTAGACACTCTTCACTTGAGACTTCCTTCCAAGCTGGAGAACATCCATTAGAAAGCGCTTTTTTGGGTACAATCACAGCCAATGGCGAGTCCATCTTACAGTAGTTTCACCCAGTCCTAACCCTCCAGTGGGGTGAGGGGTGGAGGCACAGGGCTCTTTTTATCGAGGGTTTGGAGGAGGGAATCATCGTCTGGGTAGTCACCAAGTTTGCAGAAAGAAGAGAAGACTCAAAAAGGTCTAGAGCAGCTTGAACATTGTAAGGCAGTTTTCAATATGTAAGGCACTAGTCTAGGAAATGTGTAAGGCACTAGTCTAGGATGGGGAAAGCATGACTCGATAGTACGTGTGAAAGGGGTCTGGGTGTCCTCATCAACCATACATGAGCAGCTGCTAAGCAGGCAAATGCTACCCTGGATGAATTTACAGCCACATGAAAGTCCAAATCCCAAGAAGTGAACATCGCACTCTACTCTGCCCTAGCCAAGCCCCATCTGGAGGGCTCTGACCCACCCTGGGTGCCAGAGGTCTAGCAGGGATGGTGGGAGAGCTGGACATGCTTAGCCTACAGCAGGGAGATGCGATGGCAGCCTCCCCATGTCTGAAGGGCTCTCGGAGGACAGGGCCAGAACCAGCATGCTCAAAGAACAAGGGCAGTTCAGGGGAACGTCAGTGAGTACAACAGGCTGCCCCATGAGGGAAATTCTCTTTTACTGGAGGTCTTCCAGCAAGATGGTCATCTAGCAAAGAGGTTCTCCTGCAGGGCTTCCCAAACTTTTGCTTTCATTATCCAAAACTGCCTATCAGAAAGTCCTTTTTACCCAATGTAAGTAAACCACTTTTAAGTCAATTTAAATGACCCCGTTGCAGTTGGGTAATCGGGTTGTGTGCCGTTACTAAAGAAAAAAACACTTTTACCCACTTTGGGATAATTTACCCAGATTTGGGAAGCCCTGTTCTAATGGACCAGATGACCTCTGTGCTTTTCTGTGTGGATTTCACCTTCCCTCGTGGATTCCTTCCTGCCTCTTTCCCTCTACCGCAGATGGAGTGTTCCCACAAAGAAAATGTCCCATGCAAAGGCAAAAGATGAGAGGCAGTGGCCCAGGACGATTGCCCTGAGCTGGGCACTAAGAATGGGGTTCTTGGAATTTGCACAAAAAGCAGTTGTGTTGCCAAATGCTTCCTCTTCGTTCACATGGGTGTTTTTTTCTCTCATACCTGGAGGGAGTTCCTAAGAGTGGGACTAATCTCCATCCCTTCCAAAAAAAGTTAACCTCTAATGGGATGCTAGCCTCTTAATACCCCCAGTGGTCATTTAATCCTGCTTGGTGGCCCCCCTTTCCTCTCTCCCCCAGCCCCAGCCCAGCTGTCCTGCTGCTAGAAAAGGCTTGGAAATGGAAGGTCTGCAGAGGAAGACCTGCCACGAACCTTGGTCCCAGGCAGCTGCCTCAAAGTCATTTTTTGGTTTTGAAGGACCCCAGGAGTTTTGGCATGAACTTCCCCATCTTCTTGTCTTTGGCGTCTGTCTCACATTCCTCCTCGCTTTGTTCCTCCTTCTTGCAGAAAACCTCGAAGCGGCTGTAGACTCGCTTCTCCTTCCTCATGCTCTCCATCCGCTTCAGAAGAGAATCCCGGTCCTCGGAAGGCTCCCTCTGCAGGCCCCGCTTATGGCTCCCAAAGCTCTCTGACCTGCTGACCCCTGTGTACCTCTCTTCCCCTCTGCGGTCTAAACTTGTGGCGGACCTGGACAGCTCAGGATTGCTGGCCGCTGGGAGCTGCCTGGCCAATTCTGCCCGGTTCTTCTGGCTGTTGGCCGAAATTTGCTCCAGAATGACCTTTGTGTCGTCTCGGAGGTTGCTGCTGTACAGGACGTTGGCAGTGGCGGAGGGCAGTCGAGGCTGAGGCGCTGGGTTCACCTTGTAGACAGGCACGGGTGAGGCCAGTTTGGGTGATTTCTCCTCCTCTATAATCTCCTGAGAATCACTCCTGGACATTCGCTTGAGGGCTCCTGCGTTCAGTTTATCTGGCTTCCAGCTCTCCGGGCCTGTTTCTTCGTCTGTTTTTTTCTCAGCTTTGGGATTTAGCAACTGCTTTAGCTTGAGAGATCCTTTCCTAAAAAACTCTCTCGGACTCTGTTCCTGCTTGCAAATTTCTTCGTGGGGCTTACTGAGAGAGCTGTCAGAGCCCTGGTTCTTGGAGGAGATGGTGCTGACTGGGGCTTGTGCTGGCTTCTGGCCTTCAGTTTCAGACCCGTCTCCTCCTTTGAAAGACAAGTTTTCCTTCTTCTCTGGTATGGCAAGTTTCGGAGTTTCTCCCACAAATATTAGGCTCTCGTTCCCTGGAAGACTGGATTGGTCTACTGGGTAGAATCGAGAAGCAAGCTTGTCTGTTTTATTGCTCCCGTGGGCCATGGGGTCCTTGCTAAGTACGTCGGTGGCTGAGGCAAACCCCCTAAATTGCTCCTCTGACTCCAGGTGCAGCTTGTAGGGGCTGAAGGAGTCTTTGGAGTCCTCCCGCACCTGGCTCTCCAGAATCTTGTACTGCACCGACTTGGTGCACTTTTTTTCTGCATTCTGGGATTCCTCCTGGAGAAAGGCAGACATAGCCTTGGTGTGACTGAGGGTGGGGCTTTGCGAGTCTTTGCCCACTGACTTGTACTTTTCCAGCAGCTCGGCCACTTTAGAGACAGTGGTGGCTTTTAGGGTTTCAGTGCCCTTGACTGCCTCGGTGGAGGTCTCCTCTTTTTGTACCATTTGGACTTTCTCAGCAGATGAGTTTGGCTGGTCTAATTTGGCAGCACTAAAAATAAGGGAGGATCTCAGTCGCGAACTCCTCTGGATTAAGGGATTTATTCTGCTCCTGAAGGGATCCTGTTTCACCACTGAGGTTTCTTCTGGCAATCTCTCCATTCCAGAAATGTCTTTGGCATTTGGAAGTGGAAGCGGAGGTTTGAAAGTGGGGAGGAGGTCGCTGGGATACTTGCTAAAGGGTTCTGGAGGGCTAAGTACCTCGTTATGCATCTCCGACTCGACTGGCATCAACGGAAGGCCTTCCTCTCCCGGGTCAGATTGATACCCGCTGAGGTAGGAGGAAATTCTCCAGTTGCGCAACCCTGCCCTGTTCTCCTGAACCTTCTTGTCTTGCTCTGCCTCCTGGCCCTGGTCGTGCAGGAAAAGCCTCTGCTCCATGCTCTGCTTCTGTGTGGGAGATGTCTGGCACATAAAGTTCTGCCCCATGTTCTGCCTTCTGAGCGAGGGAAGACCGAGGAGACCGTTTCCTCCTGGATTCAGGTGATCAGAGCCGTGTCGCACTTCTTTAGAAGAATTGGAAGGCACATAATCCAGCCGCAGTGGGTACCCATCTGGTGGGAAATTGGGTTCCAGTTCTGGACACCTAAATCCATCTGCATAATCTTCTGGTTCATTGAATCCCAGTCTGCTTCCTCGAATTCTTTCAAAAAGACCCTGGGGCCTGTGAGCCCCATGGGGATGTTCAAACTGATACTGATAAAACTGATCTTTTTGAAAATGACTGGACTGAATTTTAAACTCGTCCAAATTGTTCATGAACAACTGCTTAGAAAACTGCTTTGTGGACTGAAAGTTCTCAAAGGTGCCTTCCGCGAAGCTGTGCCTTTTAAATGAGTCCATCTCCAGCTGCTTGGAACGGAGGTAGCCCCGAACAGGGTCCACCTGGCAATTCTCCATTTCCATTTTTTTGGAATACATTCTCATGGCCGAACCCTCTAAGGTGTGACGCAGCATGTCGTCTCTTCTCAAAGAAGAGAGGAAATACCTGTCTGGGTCAATCCGGTCTGTGAAAGGCGGGAAAAGGTTGTCCTCTCGGGGGAAAAGCAGGTGCGGCTTCTTTGAAAAGAAGGGCATGTTGTTGCCAAAGGGGGCCATGCTGTAGGGCCCCACCGGGGCTTCTGTCCTCACTAAAACGTTGGACGGAGGAACCAGCGGGTCCGACTGGGCGAAAAGAATGCGGAATTCCTCGTCGAAGCTGGCCACCAGCTCACCCTGGAAGATATGAGCGATGCTCCGGTGGATCTTCTCAAACGACCACATGAAGCTGCAAAGGGAGCAGGAGGAAAATGAGTCTTTGATATGAGCTGCAGCTCCCCCCCCCCAACCGCACTTCTCCCCCTGCCACGCCCTGAACACCTCCAGATAGAGATCTCTTAATTTCCATTGGCCATGGGACCTCTAGGATCGATTATCAGTTGGACGGTCAGCCACTTTTTTAATCTGATGACCTCGTGGGACCCACGTTCCATGGTCAAGACTTATTTTATCAGCATCTCTTTTGAGAAGCTGGGAGGGGAGGTGTTCTTCTATCCTATAGGTTCTCGTTAGGATGTCCACGATTCACTGGTGTGCAGGCCACCCGCCTTCCCGCCCCCTCCCTGCTCACCTGTAGCTGCCACTCAGCACCACCATGCAGTCCACCAGCAAGAACTTCTCCTTCACGTGGCCCTTGAAGGACATCCCCGTGCGGCAGTAATAGGTGGGGCCAGAAACTGTCCGCACACGTAGGAACTGCAAAGGAACCAAGAGGCTGATCAGCAGGTGCCGAGGCCTGGTGACCTCCTCCATTTGACATCCCCCCCCTCCCTCGCATTTCCCCTCTTGGCCTTTTGAGCCTCCATCCTGCCCAAGAGGCTCGTTTTCCTCTTGGACCAGAACAGGATCAACTGAGTCGGGCTGGGGCTCCTGCCTGTTCCCGAGAGCCTCTCAGGTTGGATCCTTTCAGCTGGAAACCAAAGATGGCTAGTAGAAGTTTGTGATGATGTTTCACTTATGTGAAAAAAATCCTAATTCTTCCTTATATTTGGTAAACTTCTTCTCCCTATGAGAAACTTATTTCTGAAATTGGCACACAGACTGCCAACTGCAAAAGACTTTTCCAGTATGCGCTCAGTATCACAATGTCCATCGGAATGAGACAAGATGTTGCCCTGTGTTCTCAAAACACACTTTCCTACTTTTATCAAATCGTGATTTAATCAATCTGATGTTCTGGGTTCACACAACACAGTGAACCAAACATTACATAGAGCTATGTTAGTGCCGATAGTATGCTAGATTAACGCTTCATTGGCTGACCTGTGGCCGTCTTACACTGTACAACATCGCCCGCTGTGAGAGTTGAGGCTCACCGGCTACTGCAGTCAGTCATTGGGCAAAAAGAAGAAATTAGCAGAATAACAGAGGAGTCGGAAGAGGCCTCGGAGGTCTTCCCATCCAACCTTCTGCTTGAGCAGGAGGCCCTGTGCCGTGTCAGGCAAAAATCAACGGGGCTCCCTCGGCCCCATCAAAGGAGCTGCTCCTTTGGCTCCGCAGTTCTGCCTCCAGCAGGGCCCTACTCATTCATGCCCGCTGACTGAGGGCTGCCCCCTCAGCTGGCATCTGTCCTGCCCTCCCCAAATCCCCCCAGACCCATTTCCCGTGCTCACTTCCACAAAGTTGAGGTTCACTCTACATTTGGCAGCCATGTCCAGGAAGAGCTGGGCATGCATCTCATCAAGGAGGATGTAGACGGGAACTCTGCGTGCAGCCGCATCCAGTACCTCGCTCAAGAGGTCCACATCGGTGAAAATATCCATTACTATAGCAACCACCTGAGGGAGTAGGAAAAAGCCCAGATTAGGACCCCGGACATAGAGGCAAGCTGTCTCCCGGCTTGGCCTTCCGTTGTGTGACACTCGGCCATCCAGACTTCCTTCGCTCTTGCCTGAGTTAGCCCGCTTTTGACAAGAGGAAGACGGTGGCAGCCTTTGCCCTGCACCAGCACAAGCTCCCTTTCTCCGGCCCGCACACCCTGAGCCTCGGCCGGCTGGCTAGTTGACCCACAGCACCCGAGGAGACCTGTCCTCCCTTCCAGGAGTCCCCGGGAATCTCCGTCCGGCTGGTTCGGAGGGGCAGAGCCAAGGCAGGCTGTGTCGCACTGCCCCGCGAACGGCAAGGACAGCTTTGCTGGGCGTGATGATGCCATTCTGGGGCAAGTCACCCAAGAGCAACCACAGCAACTGACCGGTCTATTGTCTAGGTTCTGGGTATGGGAAGTTAGATTAAACCTTAAGCAAAAGTCACAGGGAGAAAATGTGAAGCAAATGTTTATGACGTTTAGCTTTGCCCAACCCTTACAAAAGAATTCAACATTTTTGTAATTGTAAATGTAAATTTTGTAAACGTTCTAAACATTGTGCTCTGTGGAGATAATAAGCGTAGTTTTTTTATACATAATATCATATTACAGGTAATCCTCAATTTATAACAGTTCATTTAGTGACCGTTTGAATTACAACAGCACTGAAAAAAGTGATTTATGACTGTTTTTCACACTTATGACTATTGCAGCGTCCCCAGGATCAATGATCAAAATTCAGACGCTGGGCAACTGACTCATATTTATGAAGGTCGCAGTGCCCCGGGGGGGTCATGTGATGCCCTTTTGCGACCTTCTGACAAGCAAAGTCAATGGGGGACACTGGATTCACTTAACGGCCATGATTCTAACTTAACAACTACAGGGATTCACTTTAAAACTATCTCACTTAGTAACAGAAATTTTGAGTCCAATTGTGGTCAAAGGTTGAAGACTGCCTGTATAAATCACTGTTTGATTTTTATTCTCAAAATGTTTCTGAAGCACTAGCTAAGAATTGGAAGTCAATTTATGACTGATCGATAACCACTGATCTTGCAGACACTTTTTTTAAATTACTTAAGGAAGTCTAAATGAGATGAAGCTGTTAAGGGCACAGAAAGTCAACACAATTATTAAATGATTTCGTTTTGCAATGGATGAGTACAGAATTGGATTTTTTTTTGTGTGTGTGTGCTTTACATGCAGTCAGCAATGGCCAATAAAACCCCCCAAAGATGCTGGCTCCAAGTGCCTGGGTCTGGGGAGGGAGGTGGGAACCGCTTCTCAGTTCTTAAAGAGCTTTTCTGGGGTCGCTCCCCAAAAGAGCCGGGCAGGCAGTGTCATTCGCACGCAGGATGTTCAGACTGGCCGCAACTTCCATTTTCCTTTTGATAATTTATCTAGACCTGAAACTTTCCTGTATTTTTATTTCCCCCCCACATTCTTGAAATTATAAGGAATCTTTTAAACATTTGGGAACCCTACTCCTATCCTGAAAATCTTCAAAGAGAATAACACATTTCCTTGGAACAGGAAATACGACTTTTTTTGTCATATGCTTCGGTATTTAGAATACATAAAATAGGGACATTTATGATGACACCAGACAAGATTAGACTTTGGAGTGCTTTTCCTTATTTGCCTTTTCTTATGTTTAGATTTATGTTTAGATTTTAGATTTCCACCTACCCATCTAGCTGTTTGAAAGCATGCAAATGTGAGTAAATAGGTACCACTTCGGTGGGAAGGTCACTGTGTTCTGGGCGACTTTGGCATGTAGCCGTGCCAGGCACCTGACCACAGAAATTGTCTTCGGACAACATTGGCTTCCTTGGCCAAAGAAGGGAGTTGAACACCGCCCCTTAAGGGTCAGACATGACTGGATAGGGGAAGCCTTTGCCTTTTTTATCTTTAGATGGGTTACTAAAATTATGCTTTTATTATTAAATTATTCATTTATTATGTTTTAATTCTTTAAAATATAGGGATCACCATACTATGTCTTCATTGTTTTTGTGACACGCATTTTGTAAATTTGTATATTTTTAAATTTGTATATGTTTAATTTCTATTTTTTCTTTTTAAAAAAGAAGCTCAATAGTTCAGTGGTTAAAGTTGTGGAGCTTGTCAAATGGAAAGTTAACAGTCCAGGTTCGAGACCCGAGTACTGCACGACTGGGTGAGCTCCCGTTACTGCTCCAGCTCCTGCCCACCAAGCAGTTTGAAAACATGCAAATGCGAGTAAGTAAATAGATACCTCTTTGGTGGGAAGGTAACAGCATTCCCTGCACCTTTAGCATATAGTCATGCTTGACACATGACTGCGGAAGCATCTTAGGACAATGCTGGTTCCCTCAGTTAGGAAAGGATGATGAGTATCGCCCCCTAGAGTCCAACATAACTGGACAGGAGAAATGCTTACCTTAACCTTTTACTTAAAAAAAAAATATGTATGTGAGCCTGTTTTAACAGTCCCCTCCCGGAATATTCATTCAGCACAGTGGCCTAACACCCGTGCCCTAGTAAAATTTTGCGCATTAAGGGCATTACTAATAGCACAGTGGCAAGTCACCCTGTATTTCTAACATGCTAAGCATGTGCAACAATGAAACAATTTTGCGCATTACACACATAATCAGTAAACAAATTTCTGAGATTCACATGAGATGGTGACAGTCACTGACTCAGAGTGTTTTCAGGAGAAATTGCTCAAATCTGATTATATAGTAATCAGATTCAATCCTTTTTAACATTGAATAGCAATCCATAAATAGGTATTAAAAGAAATAGAAATTTATTTTCTGGCAAAAGGTTGCAAAAAGACTAATATTTAGAAAATTCAGAGGAATTATTTTCAAAGAAAGAAAATTGAGTGGGATGAAGAGTTCAAGAGGATTCATAAAATCACAGTTGGGAGAATCCTCCAGTCCTTCCCAGGTTGAATATAGCAGGGCTTTTCAAAATTTTCACCCATTGTACTACTTTTAGGATATGGCAATATCCGAGTACCACCAGTCACCTAGCAAGGTGTCAAAAACTTGATGACCAAAAAAGAAAAAAGTGATAAAGCACAGGTAGTCCTCAACTTACAACAGTTCGCTTAATGACTGTTCGAAGTTACAATGGCACTGAAAAAAGTGCCCCCCAAGCCATAGCTGAGCAAGACACCTGCCTGCCTGCCTGGCAGCGCTCTTCCTCCTGTCCGAGGTTTTAACTGTTGTGAGCATTTCTGTTGGGGATTGGCAGCGGGGGTGGGGTGAGGGGGTGTTTGGTTTTTATTCCACCTGTCTGCTGGATGGTTGCAGCAGGTTTTGGTCACTTCACATGACCCTGGGACACTGTGACCGTCATAAATATGAATCAGTTGCCAAGCATCTGAATGTAAATCACAAGACCCTGGAGATGCTGCAACATTCCAGCTGATCGGCGCATCTTCTGGGCTCAGCAGAAGCGCCAGGATCAGCGCTGAGCTCCAGCTGGAGCCTGGCACTGATCCTGGCGCTTCCGCTGAGCCCTGACAGCCCGAAGAAACGCCAATTAGCTGGAAAGCAACACTGATCCTGGCGCTTCCGCTGAGCCCTGACAGCCCTGCAGCTCCAGCCATCTCTTGCTCAGCTTGTGCGGTGCTCCCACCGGTTCAGCTCATTCCCCTCCCTCGCTACGACTTTTCTAGGATGATCACGTACCACCTGCCAGTGCCAATGTACCACGGGTGGTACTCGTACCACTGGTTGAAAAGCCCTGGAGTATAGGATCTGCAAAACCATTTTGGACGGATGAACCTCCACCTGCTGTTAGGAGACCTCCACTGAAAGGTGGGGGGGAAGGCTCTAAATGAGTTGCCTCGTTTCATAGCTCTCACTTCCAGGAAATCCCTCCCAATGTGGAGACTTAGGAGCCTGGGTCAGGCTACGTCCCAATGGAATGATTAATAATAAAATAACCTGAACCTGGATGGTGAGGGGTGCAGGGGGCTCATCTGAGCGCAGTCCAAACCCAGAAGTGGAAGCGAAGAGGGGCCGCATAGCAGTGCCTTGTATAAAAATGGTCCCTGGGTTCCCCCACCGTTCAATTGAATCATAGCTTATTCAACTCAGTTTTCTAGGCTTCAGCTCTCTTCTGCACAGCCGACCCAACCAGCGGGACTAGCTTGCGGCTCGGTGTATGTCGTCCCGAAGACAGGGGAGTGCAGGAAAGGGTCAGGGAGACCGAGAGCAAGTGTGGCCGGTCTCCTTTAGCAGCCCTGGTGGAGCAGGTGGGAGAGGAAAGCAGAGGGACTAGCCACGCCGCAAAGATGGTACAGTGGGAAAGGGTGGCCAAACATGGTTGGACAGCCATTTGTTCTGAATGGTATAAGGACTCTTGCCCTAGGCAGGGGGTTGGACTAGAAGACCTCCAAGGTCCCTGCCAGCCCTACAATTGTACGATTTTCCTCTATGGCCAAAGCTGCCAATCTGCAGAGAGACAGAGCCTTGCCCGGAGATGAATGAGAAGGCAAGTGACCTGGATTCCTAACTTCCCAAGTGGAGTGGAGACAAGCAATTCTGGGAGAACATTAGGAAACAGCCCTCAAGGGCAGAGCCATTTGACTATAAAGCTGGTGGTGGGCCCTCCCTCACAGAGACTCCTCAAACTGACCTCGGGCTTCACTGAGCAGGATGGGATCCAATGAGATAAATAGCCCCTTCTAACTCTACAATCCATCCATGAATTCAAGGGAAAAACTGCACCATCAACCGAGAGAGAGAGAGACAGCCAAGTCCCTACAGTTAGTTCTTGCATCAGAGGGTTGGAAAGTGATCAAAATAACACCGCTTTTGAAAGAGGGATCTGGTAAATTGTAAGATCCCAATGGAAACAGGAAGTTAACCCTGGTGTCAGTTGCTTGGGACGGCGTGGGGGGAACCACCCCACTTTGCTGGACTCCTGCTTGGAGAAGTGGGCTGCCCTCCTGAACTGAAATGCTCACTTCCAGCTCCATGGCTCTCCGAAAGCAGGAGAAAACAGGTCAGAATAGAAACACAACTCATACGCAAAATTCTGGAGGGAGATCAAGAACTAAAAACGGCCCAAAGACCACTGAAAGAAAAAAATCATTATCTGGAGTGGAAAGCCAACTGTCTCACCCACTTCTCTGCTTCTCTCCTAGAACCTCTGACCACCCCCACCCCCCACCGTCTCCCCTATCTTCCACAACCACAACCTCACAGTTCTGCCTCTCGCTCTCCTACCTGCTGTGCAGCCCGAATCATTCGGCGTGCCTCCTCCTTGATGCTGGGGTTATCCGGGGGTGGGGGCTGTACCAAAGTAGTCACCTCTGTTCCCCGGAACCCAAAGACCATTGGCCAGCCCAGATCCAGCTCTGGAACGGCCAGGTCAGAGTTCACTGGCCAGTAAGTGCCTGAGGAACCGTCCGTGTCCGCGTCCGGCGGGCCGGAGTCCGTGCTGCCGCCTCCCTCCTGAGAGGTGCATTGCGGCTTCTGCAGGTGCTGCGTGATGTGCTCGATCTCCGAGGGGCAAAGGAAGTCCGGGGCCGCCTCCTCCGCCAGAAACCGGTGGTAGCTCTCCTTGCCCTCCTCTGCCAGCAAGTCCAGCGCCAGCCGGTAGTACTCCTTGTAGTGGGGCGGCAGGTAGTTGGGATCCAGAGGGTTGTCCCCTTGGGAGGAGCTCTGTGACCGGCGAGCCATGGCAGCAGAAGCCTCTGTGGGGGGGGGGAAAGAAAAGGCCGGTTGGTTGATTCAGTGCGTGTGCTGCCCAGCTTGCTCCCCAGAGCGACCCCCAAGGGCTGGGGCAAGCAGCGTCCCTTCCTTCTACTCTGATCCCTGGGAGTCCCTCTCCTGGAAAGGCCAGGGCCACTGGCCAGAGAAGCCCGAGTGGGGGGGGAGGGCTCTCTGGTTCTGTGGTAAGGCTTTCTGGGCAGGCCCGCCCGTCCGCCCACCCGCTCCCCCCAGCACCCACAGCGGCCCATCCAGGCAGCTGAAGCGATGCCATGCAGCAGCTCCAGCAGGGGTCCCATCAAAGAGGATTTTGCCAGTTGTGCCCTTCGCACCTGCTTTCCTCTCCAGTCACCGGTAAGCGCCTGGAGGAGCCAGCCAACCCGTCTCCCAAGGCGCCGGGGCTTCTCTGTGCCAGAGATTCAGACAAAAACTCGCCCCCCCCTCTAATGGGAGGGGAAATCATCCCACAGCACCTAGTTTGCACTGGTGGAGCTCAAAGGATATCCCAACGTTTGAGCCAGGCCATTTTGCTTCCTCTGTAGCTCAAACACCATGCACAGAGAAGGCCTCAAGGGGGATGGGCAAGTCCCTGGGCCAGGTGAAAAGTGCCACTGACTAAAGAGCATTGTGCCATTTTTGCACCATGGAGAGCTCTTAGATTAGTATTTTTAAGAGCCAAAGGGGATTCAATCCTGGCAAGCCCCCCAAAACTGGGAGGCAGCAGAGAAACCTTGGGCAGAAGCAAAAACTGCTAGACCACCATCTCAAGGTAAAAGAAAACAGCAGCTGTCAAGCAGGAAAAGGGGGAGTGGGAGGCCTGGAGCTTCCAAGAGCCCTTCTGACCTTCACATACCATGGGACGACCTGGCAAGTGGAACCCAGGACTCTCTCCTGAACAGCAGTGGGATTGTGGGCACTCAACATCTCCGGGGGCCTCCCCCCTCCCAACCAGGTCCCCTCAATGCTATTCCTGGGTGGTGAATTCAGAAATCCCTCAGGACTGAGGTGGAAGAGGAGACGGGCTGAGACCACAAGATGGATTATGGTGCCACATTCAGGCAGCTTTGTTAAGTTTAACCATGATTAGACTGCAGGTGACTCTCAACATCTTCTACAAATCCTACCTGCTTAATTAGCATAGGATTTGATCCACTGTGTAAACCCTGCGCAAAGGGTGACTAGGCCAAGTCTGTTGTGTGCTTGTTAGGAAGTCTGTGCAGAAAGAAAAACCAAGCTGCTGCTCGGGGCCAGCTCCCATGTTGCCTGGACCACTTTGGGAAAACCACAGCCTCTGAGCACAAGCAAGCTGCCCATGCAGCTGCTGGGAAATGGGAACGCCTTGCTGCGCTTGGCTTGGTAGCCTCCCATATTATCACAGCTGTTGCACTGCGGTGTGGTGTGGGGTAGTTTCCAAAGGCTGCAGGGGAGTTACACACAGGAATGTCTCTGTGGTGCAGACAAAACGGGTGTGCCTCCTCCTGCACCTATACCAGCAGACCAGGGAGCCTGGCAGAGAGAAACATAAGGAAGGAAGGAAGGAAGGAAGGAAGGAAGGAAGGAAGGAAGGAAGGAAGGAAGGAAGGAAGGAGAAGGGGAAGGAAGAGGAGAAGGGGAAGGAAGAGGAGAAGGAGGAGGCGGGTGTGCCTCCTCCTGCACCTATACCAGCAGACCAGGGAGCCTGGCAGAGAGAAACAGGAGGAAGGAAGGAAGGAAGGAAGGAAGGGAGGGAGGAGGAGGAGGAGGAGGAGGAGGAGGAGGAGGAGGAGGAGGAGGAGGAGGAGGAGGAGGAGAAGGGGAAGGGGAAGGGGAAGAGGAAGAGGAAGAGGAAGAAGAAGAAGAAGAAGAAGAAGAAGAAGAAGAAGAAGAAGAAGAAGAAGAAGAAGAAGAAGAAGAAGAAGAAGAAGAAGAAGAAGAAGAAGAAGAAGAAGAAGAAGAAGAAGAATAAGAAGAAGAAGAAGAAGAAGAAGAATAAGAAGAAGAAGAAGAAGAAGAAGAAGAAGAAGAAGAAGAAGAAGAAGAAGAAGAAGAAGAAGAAGAAGACCACCACCACCACCACCTAGTGGACCATTTGTCTGCCCTCTTGAGTTTGTTTTTGACCCACAACCCTCTGCTGGAAGTTGGTTCCAGGCATCCACTACACTTTCTGTGAAGTCAGTTTCCAGCATTGCTTCTGAACTTCCATCAGTTTGAGATTACTTGATTTTTGCTTAATATTGAAAATACTGTCTTCTAGACCCTTATTCACACTCTTAATAGATTTAATGGTTTCAATCACTTCCCTTTCCCTTCTGTCCTCCAGGCTGCACAGATTCAGTTCTTCCCATCTCTCATGGGATGTTTTGTCCCTCGGCCTGTCTCCGGACTCGTTCATTTTTTAAAGTGGGGTTTCCAGAACTGGACACGGTTTTGCAAATGGGACCTGACTGAAGCTCTACACGGTGGGATTAGGACCTCCTCCTTCCTGCTGGGGATCCCCTCTAGTGATGCATCCCAGAATTTGGTTGGCCTTCACAGCTGCCTGGCCACACTGTTTCCCCATTTTGCAGTTGTCTCCTGGGGGAGCACCTACATCTTCTCCTTCTGTTGTACCCCCAATACTGACCCCTGCCAGAGGATTCTTCTCCACTCCCCCAAGCGCATGATCTTATATTTAGAAACCTTGAGTTGTATTCTACATTTTTGACCAATTTTCCTGCAATGCCAAATTGTTTTCCATGTTATGAATACCCCAGGGGCATCAACTCTATTACACACCTTGGTGTCACAGCAAAAAGACAAGCCTTACCTAGCAATCCTTCTGGTATATCACTCACAAACACATTGACCAGAACAGGACCCGGGGCTGAGCCTTCTGGTACATCGCCTGTGCCTGGTCTCTGTTCAGACAGTGGCCCATTAAGCATCGCGCTCTGGGATCTACCTGTGAGTCAACTTCCTATCCACTGAGCCGCCCAGTGATTAAGCCCCCAGCCTGCACTGCTAGGACTGGTATGATCCTCCTGCCTGGGTCTGTTAGTGCCATCGACTTCTGAGAAGACTGAGCAGAAGTAAGTAAAAGGTTTGCTATAGCCAGGGAATCAGCTCTCTTAATTTTTTGGTCTTGTTCTGTTGCTTGTGTTATGTTGAATTCCTATATGACACCCTCCTTCTCCCCCAGACTTCCCACAATTTCAATCCCTTCTATTATTTTATCTCTTCTCAGTAAGAATTAAGCTCAGTGTAGCTGACCTTCTAGTTCCCTTCTCTCTTTTTTGGGACTGCTGGGTTTGTCAGGAATCTGTTTGATCTCCCGCCAGGTGTAGGGTTTGTCTCCCAGTTGATGTCAGGATAGTTAAAGTCCCCCATTACTGTTCCAGGCTGCTTCCTGGACACCTTACTTAACTGATTAGCAAAACGTATTTCCTCCGTTTGGGTGAGAGGTCTGTGGTTTACATGTATGGCAATGTCATTTCTTTTTCCTTTTATATTAACTCAAATACATTCAAGGTTTCCATTGTCGGGTGGAGTTGTTGTTGTTTTTTACATTTCAGTAAAGGTATAGCTATCTTTATATACAATGCAATACCTCTTCTGAGGAGTCCCAAAAGGATGGGAAAGTCCTTCTCTTCTTTTTTTTGTGGTACATTAAAGCATGCACACACACACCCCAAAAAAGTTTTAGACTTGTAGAAACCAGGCTGGCCCAATCGGCTTTCCGACACCAGGAGAATCCTTGACTTTTCCTCCGTCCTGGGCCTTGCACTGTTGTCTTCCCATTGAGATTCTGCGGTTAATGCTGCTGAGGTGAGCCGTGGACAGGAGGTCTCCAGGTTAATCCTGTGCGGCATGGAGAAGACCCTTCATTTGAATGGCCAGGTCTCTTCCTGTCTCTGCCCCAAATCTCCTCCCTGCCCACTTTCTCCAAACCACGCTCTTCGGTCTTCAGCCGTGTTTCCCTTCGGCCACCTTTCTCCCACGCGAGGGGGATTCAAACTTTCTCATTCCTTCTTGGGGAGAAGAGTTTGGAGCAGGCCCTTTGGATTCCCCGTTCTGTCACTTCCCAGCTGTGGGAGGAGGAGGAGGAGGAGGAGGAGGAGGAGGAGGAGGAGGAGGATACACACACACAGAGAGAGAAGTATACACATATACACATTCATATATGTATGTATACACACACACACACACACACACAGTTTTACAAACATGGTGATCAAAGCTGTGCATAACATGCCTAATGCAAAGACACCATGAACATCTACCAGAGGCATTACGTTGTTGGCACTTTCGGTCCCTTTCCTTGTTGATGATCCCTGTCAGGGAATTTCTCTTTCCCACAGCCGTTGTGCACTAAGTCCCATCTTCCAAGCTCTCCACTTAAGACTCCATGGTTTTCTTTGTGGTCCATTACAGACACTCTACCTAATTAGCATCTGGGTGAGGTTAGGGGACTGCTCCAACACACATAACTTTTATGCTGACGTAAACTGATGATGTCGCCTAGTTTGGGCAATGAAACGTCTGCAGGAAAACAGCCAAGATCAGAGAGTATCAAGGGCTCTTCATTTCAACCCTGAGCTATGAATATTCTCCTTAATAACTACTTCTGGAGCTCTTCGCAGTCTTTTTTTTATTTTTTTTATTTTCATCACCCTGAATAATTGAGCCTTACTTCCTGCATGGAAAGACCTGAAATGTTTGCTAGTTGCATTCCAGGCCCAATTTGAGTTGTTAGTTTTCAGCTTAAAAGCCTCTGACAGCTTAAGGCCCAATTACCCACCTCATCTGAAACCTGACCCACATGCAGATCAATGGAAAGACCCTCTTCAAGATGCTCTCCTTGGTGTTCTCTGAGCTTGGTTGTTTTCTTGCAGATAATAATAATAATAATAATAATAATAATAATAATAATAATAATAATAATAATAATAACCCCAAGTGAGGCACTACCTTGACGTGGTTGTGGGGCTTGTGTACTCTGAGGAAGATGAGAGCTATGCCAGAGGTT